GGTCTGGGGGCTGCGGGGCCTGGCGGGCGGGCTGGCGGCGTGTCCCCGCGGGGCAGGAGGGGGCTGGTGGCCGCGGGCAGCGCAGCGCCCTTCCGAGGCGGCCCGCTCGCTCGGTGGCAAGACGGTCTGGGTCTCGGTGCCTGCCGGTCCGTGGTGGAGCTTCGCGCAGGTTTTCACGCTGCCGGCGGTGGCCGTGTCTGGACCAGCCTCAGTGGGCCTCCCAGAGCAGGGCCTCCCTCTGCTTCTCTCCCTTACCTGGCCCCGCCCTCCGCGTGTTCGAGGCTGGGGCTTCCTGGCACCTGTGGGCATTGAGGCTTGGCTGTTTCCAGGAGCCGGCCGGCCGTGCAGCTGCACCAGCCACGGACCTTACCCGGGATGGGAACCCTGTTCCCATCACCAGCGGCGGAAGCTTCTGGTGGGAGAGAGGAGCAGAGGCAGTCAGATGAAGGTAAAACCGACTTAGATCCTAGAAAAAGGCTTTCCAAGCAAGAGTGAGACTAGTCCGTTTGGGGGACTGTTTCTTGCCTTTCCTGCAGGAGCGATGTGGCTTTGGAGCGATGTGGCTTTTTACCTAAGGGAAGGGTGGGCTCCCCGTCAGCTCCCAGACCATTTCCAACTCAGTGACTGGTTGCGTTAATATCATCTCTTAAAACTTTCATTTGGAACATTTCAGACAGAAAGTTAAAAAACAGTTTAGTGAGCACCTGTGTAACGACCACCCATCTTAAGTAAACATTAATTGAAATTTTCTGGATGTTCTGCTTCAAACCCGGTCCTTTCCTGTATTCTGAGGAAGCCCCTGTCTCGGGTTAGGTCTGTTGACCTGTTAAAACAGCTTAGAGCTTAGCCAGTTCAGTGGCACGTAGGAATGAAGCCTGATACCTGCTCCTCTGGTAGCCTTGAGTGGGTCATAACCACCTGCCGTTCTGGGTGGGCTGCCTATGCCCCTCACCTGCAGGCCTCATTTAGCTTGAAGGAGCTGTTGCTGCCTGTTACTGATCCTTTATTGAGACCCTGAATGTAACGTTTTGAAACATGGTTGATTTCCAGACCAAGTACACACTGATAGATGAGCAAGATATCCCACTGGTGGAGGGCTACTCCTTTGAGGTAAGGATGGCTATTCCTTTGCTCCCCTACTTTCAGTCACTGCCTGGGGAGGGTCGTGAGGGATGGGTTTTATCCTCTGTGAGGGCAGCCTGGCTTTGGCTGCCCAGTGGAACCCCTACCACCTCTGTGATACTGGTCTTCCCCCCACTTCTACTCCGGTTGCTGGCTCTTCCTGAAAACACATCGAATTGTGTCATGCTTGTGCTTGAGTGTTCAATTGGACAAGCCTTGGGTCCTTATGAGGAGGCTGTGCACTGCCACCCCACCTTTCCTCTGGCCTTGGCCCCACTGTCCCTCTGTGCCCTGGTGCTCTCTACTCTCCCTCTCCCTGAGCTCCCTTGCCTTCCGCAGTTCTCCACTGGATGAGCCAGTCCTCACCTACCAGCTCCTCCCCGTCAGAATTCCTCCAGGAGTCTGTGGACCCACTACACTTTTATTTCAGCCTTTCATGCTTTTATAGCACAGATGACCGTTGGACAACATGGCTTTGAACTGCACAGGTTACTTATACATGGGTCCTTTCTTTGATAAACATAGTCCAGTACCGTAAATGTATTTTTTTCCTTGTGACTTTCTTATTTATTTTTTTGAATGTTTACTTTTCATTTTTGAGAGAGGGAGCATGGGCACCGGTATGAGTGGGGGAGGGACAGAGAGAGGGAGACAGAGGATCTGAAGCAGGCTCTGCACTGACCGCAGCAAGCCTGATGAGGGGCTTGATCTCACGAACCTCAAGACCACGACCTGAGCCAAAGTCAGACGCTCAACTGACTGAACCACCCAGGCGCCCCTCCCTAAGACTTTCTTGAAAACGTGTTCTTCTTTCTAACTTTACTTTATTGTAAGAATATATCATATAACACATGTAACATACAAAAATTTTTTTTTTATTTTATTTTTTTTATTTTTGGGACAGAGAGAGACAGAGCATGAACGGGGGAGGGGCAGAGAGAGAGGGAGACACAGAATCGGAAACAGGCTCCAGGCTCCGAGCCATCCGCCCAGAGCCTGATGCGGGGCTCGAACTCACGGACCGCGAGATCGTGACCTGGCTGAAGTCGGACGCTTAACCGACTGCGCCACCCAGGCGCCCCAACATACAAAAATATTTGATACTCGTCTGTTATTGTTAAGGTTTCTGGTCAGCAGCAGGCTATTAGTAGTTAAGTACTGAGAAGTTAAAAGTTACACGTGGATTTTCAGCTGTGTGGGGCTTACCTCAAGGATGAACTGTAGTTACTTGTCCGAGGCTTTGTTTTTCTTACTGAATTGTGGGCTTTTTCTAAAAGTGGGAGAATTTATTTCTCTGTGTTCACAGTGTTTTACAGAGTGGTTTGTAAGTGAGTTATTGCTGGGATACAGGGCTGATTTCTCACATCTGGAAGTCTCTGCAGAGCTCTGGGTCCCAGAAACAGGCCCCATATATGTATCCTGGTTTGTTTGTTTCACTTAATTTTTCTTTCTTTTTTTTTCTTTTTAATTTTTTTTAACGTTTATTTTTGAAAGAGAGAGAGAGAAACAGTGCATGAGCGGGGGAGGGGCAGAGAGAGAAGGAGACACAGAATCCAAAGCAGGCTCCAGGCTCTGAGCTGTCAGCACAGAGCCCGACGTGGGGCCTGAACCCATGAACCATGAGATCATAACCTGAGCCAAAGTCGGATGCTTAACCGACTAAGCCACCCAGGCGCCCCTTTCACTTAATTTCTTTAAGAGGGATTTCCAATGTAGCTAAGAATCAGAAACTTTTTAACAGACCTTCTCTTTGCTCCTTCTCAGGCCCGGATGGAAGTAGATGCAGATGGAAATGGTGCTAAGATATTTGCATATGCCTTTGACAAAAACCGGGGAAGAGGGTCAGGAAGGCTCCTTCACGAGCTGCTGTGGTAGGTGTCTTCAAACTGCTTATTTTCTATTTGGGTACCGCATGAGCCCTGATGCGCACATAGAGCCTGCAGAGACACCTGCCCGCATTGACAGAAGATGCTTTCCCTGAGTCGTGCTCCCGCACCCTCTTAGTTACCTTTGGGTCATTGCCATTAACTCAGAGGAATGGCTCATTCGCATATTGTATCACTAATAGAGCAGCCTAAAAGCGCATTTTTTGCTCGTACTTGCTCCAGACACAGCCTCCTCTGGGGTAGGGTGGGGTCTGCTCCCTCCACTGGGCTCTCGCTGAGCCTGTCGGTGGGATGTGAGGAAAGGACTGCCTCTCCTTGGTGTGCATGGTGTAGTCCCACAGTGCCTGGGACTACTCTGATGGGGAAGTCTCTAGATTGTGTTTGATGGTTGGGGTTCTGTCAAGGGGCTGGACTGTCAACACGGTCTATCTTGTTTGGCCACGGACCGACACGCTTAGATTCCTCTCGACACCCTCGTTCCTAATTGTCCCCATCAGCGTGATGAGGGGCCAGTTCAGATCATAGGGCGGAAGTATTTGGGAAGGCCAGAGGAGGCTGATTGAGGGAGACGCCTTGTTTTCCAGGGAGCGGCACAGGGGAGGCATTGCTCCTGGGTTTCAGGTGGTACACCTCAATGCTGTGACTGTAGACAATCGCCTGGACAACCTGCAGCTGGTGCCGTGGGGCTGGCGGCCCAAAGCCGAAGAGACATCCAGCAAACAAAGGTGGGGCTTCTCGGGGCCGGGGGAGCCGGCAGAGGTGCCTCATGGAAGGTCCTCCTTCAGGCTCTTGTTACTAAGAGGGGCCCGTGTCTCCACTCTGATCTGATGCTTCTGTGGGAGTGGAGACCTTGGTTATTTTCCCTCAAAGTTTTCCCTCTTGTTTTCTTCACGGGGTTGGGATACCATTTTGATAATTTTTTTTTTTTTTAAATGTTTGTTTGTTTCTGAGAGAGAGAGAGAGAGAGAGAGACATAGCACAAGTAGGGTAAGGGGCAGAGAAGGAAGTAGACACAGAATCCTGTGAGCTGTCAGCACAGAGCCTGATGTGGGGCTCGAACTCACAAACCGTGAGATCATGACCGGAGCTAAAGTTGGACACTCAATTGAATGAGCCACTCAGGCGCCCCTTCTAATGATTGGCTCTAGTGGGGAGAAGAGCTGTCTGGGCTGGATGCCTGCTCATGGGCAGGACTTCTCCTTTGTGTCTCTGAGAAAACTTGGACATCTTTATCTGGGGATGCCTCCTGTACACACACATGTGCATCTTTCTGTCATGCTCTTTGGCTAAACACCTAAGCAGTGGCTTAAAAGAAGCAAGAGAGTGTGGTTTGGGGGCTCTGCTGCTCAGTCTCTGCCTCTGCATGGTCCTGACAACAGTGCTGCTCAGGCTACTGCAGGTGTCCCCCTTGGGCGAGTAAGATGCTCTGAGGCAATTCCCATGGCCCCAAGAGCAGTCTGGGTGTGAGCTTCATGGAGGCCTTGGGAAGAGCTGGGGAACCAGCAGAATGGAAGGTAGGAGCTGAAATTAGCCAGGGTGTTCCTGGCCACGTGTGCGTTATCTGTGGGCTCACTGGGGCTCTCTGGGGTTTGTGCACGTCCTTGGGCCTCTGGGAAGGCTCTTTCATCAAACAAAATGAATGTGAAGTTAGGGATTAGCAACAGAAGGGTAAGGGCAGCTCAGCAGGCGTATCAGTGTCTGTAGATTTCCCCCTGGGTTGTCCAACACGGATGCTCATCCAGTGTGGACACCGGGAGCGGCCCCGCCTCCCCCAACACCAGACAGGTTTCCTTCTGCTCACTGGAGACCTGGAAGGGGCTGCCCACCCCTTCACCCGCAGCGGATCTGCTCCTGCTATCGCTATCAATCGTTACTCTAGGCCTCTGTGTGACTCATGGTTTGGCCAGCCTGTGGCTGAAGGTTGTTACATTTCTTCATCTGAACACTCTTTATGATCATAAGATAACCACAATTGAGAACACCTGTTTGGAAAAGGATCCATTCCATCACAGGCCACCCTGCCCAGTGGTCTCTGCTGGGTCGTGGCCTGCCTGCCCCGTTCTCCTCTAGGCCATTCCCATGAGGCCCAGGACAGGCTGTGTTCTTGAGGTTCTGTCCTTTGTGTCATCCCAGGAACTAATCAAGTGGGACCATCCTTAGTTTGTCAGCTAGGGATTCAGACTCTCCCTTTACTTGTCGTGGGTCGGAGCCAGCCTGAGTGTGGCCTGAAATACCAGCTGGCCTGGGCATTATGTGGTCTGCACTCTGCAGGTCCTTGTGGTGGGAATCCCCCTCTTTGTGAAGCAGGGAACGTGGCGTCATGGCTTCTCCCAGGCCTGCACCTCCTGTCTTGCTTTCCTTCAGTGTGGGGCCACAAAGGCGGCTCATCCAAGGGGGGGGAAGGGCCTCTCTGTCAAGGTGTGTTTTCCTCCCTTTCTGCTTCTAAGAGCCGACTGGGATTGAAACTTGCCTGTGTCGTGTAGGACTTCCTTGAAGGGCTCAGAAGGCAGCCAGCACCCTCCTACGTCCTGACACGTCCCTTTTTTTTTTTTTCCTTTTAAAAAACCTTTCTTATTGTGGTAAAATACATACAGTGTTTGCTCTCTCAGCCATTTTTGAACGTTCAGTTTAGTAGCATCCAATACATCCACTTAGTTGTGCAACCATCCCCACCATCCATCTCCAGAACTTCCCCATTAGACACTGATTCCCCCCCAGCCTCCACCTTCCTACTCTGTGTCTTTGGATCTGAATCTTCCAGGGCTTCCTGTGAGTGGATCCTACAGGATTTATCTTTTTGTGACAGACTTAGCACAGTGTCCTCAAGGTTTATCCGTGATGTAGCCTGTGTTGGGATTTCGTCTTTTTTTTTTTTTTAATGTTTATTCATTTTTGAGAGACAGAACGGAGCGTGAGCTGGGGAGGGGCAGAGAGAGAGGGAGACAGAATCCAAAGCAGGCTCCAGGCTTCGAGCCCTCAGCACAGAGCCCGACGCGGGGCTTGAACTCACTGACCATGAGATCATGACCTGAGCCAAAGTCAGATGCTTAACCGACTGAGCCACCCAGGTGCCCCAGGATTTCTGTCCTGGTGTCCTATGTGTTTTGGATAATATTACATTATGGTTATGTACCACATCGTACCCATTTGTGCATTGATGGAGCCTTGAGTTGTTTAGGTTAGGTTTGTTTACGTTTAGGTCTTTGATCCATTTTGAGATAATTTTCGTATATGGTATTAGGTAAAGGTGACCCTTCCCCTATTTAGCCCAGGTCCTCCAGGCCTGGCCCCACAGAGGGTGGTAGGTTGAAGGGGGTGCTAACCTGCTGCTTTGCTCTCGAAGTACAGGTGGTGGCACCTTTGCAGCCCAGCAGCAGGGGGGGCTGCTGAGCGCCTTCACCGGCCCTGCCCAGCCTGCGCTCCCCCTAGGGCCTGTTAGGGTGCCTCAGTTCTAGCAGCAGGTAGGATTCTTCAGTTGCAAGCTTCTGGTGTTTAGGAAGACTTAGAGCGGCTCACAGTATTGAAGGAGAGGTGGACCAGCAGGGGCAGAAGTAGGTGCCTCTGGGTCCATGAGCAGGGAGAAGGACCGCCTGGCTTTGCACAGGTGGCCAGGCTTGGCCAGGTCCCTGTACTGAGGCCGCACGCTCTTTGTGCCTGCCGTGTGCCCAACAGTCCCCGGTTTTGGGAAATCTAAGAGGCAGGCAGACATAGCCCTGCTTAGACATGCTAAATACTTGGCATCCCATACAGGTAAGCCCTGCCGCATGGCGGGGGCAGGCCAAAGAAGAGTCAAGTTGTCCTAACAAAAACTGGGGCAGAGATACGCTGAGCAGGAGAAACCAGCTATCTGTCTGCAGTCAGGTCATTGTCATGTCCCTGTGTTGACTGTGTCCGGCTGGAGTATACTGAAGCATATGCTTCTCCTTTTAAGGGAGCAAAGCTTATACTGGCTGGCGATTCAGCAGCTTCCCACAGACCCCATAGAAGAGCAGTTTCCTGTCCTGAACGTGACCCGGTACTATAACGCCAACGGGGACGTGGTGGAAGAGGAGGAGAATTCCTGCACCTACTACGAGTGCCATTACCCTCCCTGCACGATGATTGAGAAGCAGGTACAGGTGCTGCAGTGAGTGCCAGCTCCGGGTTGCTCCGTACCCCGCTGCCCCGGCCCCTGCGGGCCTCTCGCGCACCTCTCCGCCGCAGCCGCTGTGCCTGCCGGCTTCAGTGTATGGGCTTGCCGGGTCCTTTCTGATTGCAGCGTAGTACCTGCCCCACAACCAATTCCCCGGCGTGACCGTGAAGCCATGGTTGTCCTGTGTGTTCTTTCAGCTCCGGGAGTTCAACATTTGCGGGCGTTGCCAGGTGGCCCGGTACTGCGGCTCCCAGTGCCAGCAGAAGGACTGGCCCGCCCACAAGAAGCACTGTCGAGAGAAGAAGCGCCCCTTCCAGCACGAGCTTGAGCCAGAGCGATGACCGGGCTTCCGGACCTACCTTGGGCGTAGCAGACACAGACTGGTGGTTGACCCAGAGGTGCTGAAGAAGGCAGCGAAGTGCACCCACGGCAACTGCCACAGAGGCCCCCTCGCCACGGGCACCTCGTGTGGGCACGGCGTTCCCCTCAGTGTTCATCTCCAAGCAGAGACGGCTGGGGAGGCTCCCACCAGGACGCTTCTCATTATTTATATGTTAATATGTTTGTAAACTCATGTACAGTTTTTTTGGGGGGAGGCAGTGGGAAGGTTAGATATTACAAATAGAATCATTTGCTGTAATTCTTAACTGGCAAGCGGTTGGGCCACACATTTAAAAAGTCTAAACAGTGTCACATGGTGGAAGCTCTTTCTGGGCAGCTGCCGTCCCGAGGAGCGCGGCCTGCGTGGAGTCACGTCCACAAGGCACAGTAAAGGGGTGGAATCATCGAGTGCCTCCACCGTGCTCTGCTCTCCTTTTTGCCCTCTCTGCTATTGAAGTTTATTTCTAAGTGAATCAAGGTGCTGTGGGGGTGAGGGGTGGAGGTTGCCTTTATCTTTATTCCTAGGCTGAGAGAGAGGGGAGGCAGGCAGGGAGTGTGAGTGAGACCCGGGCCTGTTCTTGTCCTGGGGCAGGAGTTGCTGGGGGTGGTGAGGTAGGCGGACATGGAATGTTCTCGCCCTGGCAGTTCTCCCCTTGATTTGTGTGCCGAGTGGCAAAGAGTTCAGTGGTGGAGGTCTGCCTGGGAATTGGAGCAGCTAGGGTGAGTGAGCGCTGCTTTCCTGTCCACTCTGCTGGGCTCCCTCCCTCTCGTCAGGGAGCCACAGATGTCTGAAGGCTGGGCAGCATCTTGTATACCTTGCAGAGCCACCATGGGGCACCAAGCCAGGCTTTGTGTCTGGGATCTTGCTGGTCTCCAGATCCAGCCAGCCAACCTGCTAGGGGCTTTGCTTCCTGGAACAATGAGGCTGGCCATCCCAACTCTTGAGTGTTTGTCCTGGGCTACCCCCTGCCCCACGTTGGTCCCAAGTGCTCCTACTTTCCCTTGTGCAGCTCATCTGCCATCTTCCGGTGTGTTCCATCTGTCCTGTGTGTCCCCATTGCTTTCCTTGACTGAGAATAGCCTCTTGGTGGCGTCGGTTTGTGACTTGAGTTTCTAGTAGGTTCTTTTGCGGTCTTTGGGAGTCCTCTTGGGCAGTAGGTCTTGGAGAGCAGGACTGAGCAATCGGGTAAAGGCAGAAAGCAGGGAGCAGGAGGGTTCAGGTCAACCCCAAGGGAGGTTCTCTGAAGGCGAGAGAACCCCGTCTGCACCATGTGTGTTTTCGCTGAGTAGCTCCCCTTGGTCAGTGTGCGTGAGGTGCAGCGTATTTTCTAGATGAGGAACATCTTTGCTGCATAGGTAAAGCCTGCTCTGGGTCCCTCCAAACCCTAAGTTGAGCAGCAATGGGGGCTCAGAAGCCTTTTGTGGAGGGGGATATGTATGATGCTGAGAGATCATCCGTCCTACAGACAGCAGTTGGCTGGAGCCCTTGGGACATTCCCAGGGCTGGTGTAATTCCTTCTTCCAGAGGCCGGCTCTAGTCTGGACCGTTTGGGTGGGGGGAACCCAGGTATGTTGGCATGTTGGGGTTTGGGTGGTCTTCCAGGCACAAGGCCTTGAGTGTGCTCAGGCAGTGTGCTTTCAGACAAAAAGGCTCCTGGGAAGAGGAGGCAAAAGACCACAGGCTGTGGTTTTTGCCTCTGTCCTTCGTGACCCGGCACTTCAGCCTGTCTGCATTCCCTGACCAGCACACATTATCCTGAGGTCATTATCCTGGCTACTTGCCAGAAAATTACATTGAAGTTGAAGTGCCCAGGGTCTCTCAGCAGACCTGTAGGACACCACACTAGGTCCTGATACACGGTTGATGTCTTCCACGTCGCATGGCTCATCGGAATAGCATTGGTCTGGGGATCGTGCAGCGTAGCTGCTTTGAGCAGGTGCTGCTGCTGGTAGCTGATCCCCGTCCAATTGGGCTGTGCCCCTGTACCGAGTGTTAGAGACCCCTCAAGCCTGTGCTGGTGAAGGGCTAGAGCTTAGAAGGTGGCTGTAAGGGTTCTAGAGTTGCCCGTGTAGTGGCTCCTTCCCTTTGCTCGAGTCACTGCAGTGGCTCCCTGGAGTGGACACTATTGTGAAGGTGCCGTAGGACCCACAGACGGTTTTTATCCCTGTTTGCTTCCCTTGTCCCTTCTCTGATGGCAGCCCCTGGTTTCTTTTTTCCTCTGATGGCCCCAACCTCTTGATCTTTGTGGTCACACCTCTTAGGGGGCCTATGAAATGTTAGCATTCAGATGGTTAGTGTGGGGGCTTGTTTGAGTTGTAGTGTGTGGGGCTGGGTGACTTGACCTTATTTTTCCCCCTAAAGATTTTTTTTTTTTTTTAAGTAGTGGCTACACCCAGTGTGTGGGGCTCAAGCTCATGACCCCGAAGTCAAGAGTTGCATATTTTACTGACTGAGCCAGCCAGGTGCCCCTTGACCCTTCCTTGTAGCAGATACAAATGTGTGGTTCAGCTATTTTGGAAAGTCCTGTTGCTTTCTGACCAACCTTTTCTGCTTCTCTGCTTCAGTTGCCACCTGAGCTGCTGACTCACAGCTGTATATCTAGCCATAGCCCTACTTGAAAACCACAGGCTGGGTACCCAGGTATCTACGTGGATTTCAATGTCAGCTTGTCCAGCTACCTGGAGCTATCCTAACAAGTTAGCATTCAGCAGATGGCTTCAGACAACAATGTATCATCCCTGTTGTGGAGGTGGGAAGTCCCAGATGGGTGTGTTGGCAGGACCATGATCCCTCTGAAGACACATGGGAAGGTGTGCCTGTTTCAGGCCTCTCCTACCTTCTGGCAGTTTGAGGCCTCCCTTGCCTTGTGGATGCAACATACCAGTCCTCTGTTTTTACGTTATCTTTTTTCTGTGGGTCTCTGTCCCTGGGAGACCAAATCGCCTTTTCATAAAGACACCAGTCATATTGGACTAGGGCTCACCATAATGACCTCGTTTTAACTGGATTACCCCTGTAAAGGCCCTGTTTCCAAAGGTCACATTCTGTGGTGCTGTGGCATAGGACTTCAATGTATCTTTTGGGGCAGACACAACTCAATCCATCCTTAACAATGTCCAAAACTTGCCTTCCCCAAATCTATTCTGTAGAATATATTAATTTTCTTGAATGGCAGCCGCATCTACTCCATGTCCCAAGTGAGATCATGGCAGTGCTGGGTGGCCTTTACATTGTGAGTGGCTGACAGACCCCTGCCGCTGGCGCCACGAGGCTGTCTACCTACCTACCCACCACCTCAGTCCGCCCGGTCTCCTTCTGTGCTGTCCTGGCAGGCGGGACTTGGCATCCACGGGTGCGCCGCACTTCATGGCCTACCGGCAGCCCTCTAGGATGGACACGGAGGGGCACAGGGCTGGCAGGACGCAGCCCTTTTAGGACTGGCCCTGGATTGGGCTCCCTGAATGTCTAGGTCCTTAGCTTACCCCCACTTTCATGCCCGTTTTCTCTTCCTCTGCGTCCCGCCCCGCCCCCCCCCCCCCCCCCCCCCACTCTCCTTCAGAGCCCAGATCTTCGGGGACTCCGAAGGGGACACCACTGCCCGCCCAGATGCCCACGTCTCCCCGCCAGGGCAAGATGCGAGCCCTGGCACGTGGGGGCCGCGGAACTCCGCCGGCCGGCGGGAGGCGCCGGAGGCCACCCTCACGCGCGGCGGCAATCGGCGGCCGGAAGTCCCGCCCCGACGCCCCAGGAAAGGGAAGGAGGGGACTGCGGAAGTAGAAAAAGGACCGGCTGCGGGGGCATCTCTTCACCGACGCGGTCTTTGGTCTTGACTCCGAGCCCGCCCACGCCGTCGACCTCAGCCCCTACCCCGCTCCCAATCTGGCCTCGTCACCCCTCCCGCGCTGCCCGGTTCCCGCAGCCTTGGACGCTATTGCGTCCTTGTCTGACTTCCGGGCGACGGAGGGTCGCGTGCGGCTGCTGCAGGTGGTGGACACGGAATACACCGCGGACTCGGTGGAATGGTGCCCGCTGGAAGGCCGCAGGCACTTGCTCGTCTGCGGCACCTACCAGCTGCGGAAGCCGGAGGACCAGCCCGCGGACCCCGAGAGCAAGGTGTGTGGTGTCCTCCTGGCCGTAGGCGGTCTCGGCCGCGGCTTTCTAGGTCCGCGCTCCCCAAATGGCGTTTCTCGAGTAGCTAAGGCCCCAGAGTCAAACTCTCTTTTAGGAGAGGTCTCAGGAAGGACGAGAAAATACTTCAGAGAGGCAGAGCCGACCGCAAATGTTGAGACGTGTCTGGCCTGTTGTGGGGGAGGCAGGAACAGAAAAGGCTGTGGAGTCACACTGGGAGATGAAGATGTGACGTTTGCGTTGTGGCCAGAAGGTAGGTTAGAATGGGCATCTTGAAAGTAAAATGTACCCCATATGCAGGCGTGGCTCAAGCTTATGAATGAAGCCTAGAATAGAAAGAAAAACGGGAATTGGAAGGAGCCGTACCTAATCTCTTGATGGCATCTATTCAGATCCAAACCAGAACACTACTAAGCATGAGAACTGGCACTCCAGCAACAGGCCTAGGTCAGGACGCTTCCGGGCGGACTGGGTCCTGTGGTGACCCTAACCATAGCTGGTCCCTGTTAGCTCACCTAGAAGGAGCATTGTAGGGGCACCTGGCTGGCTCAGTCCGAAGAGCATGCGACGCTTGATCTCGGAGTCATGAGTTTAATTGAGCCCCACGTCGGTGTAGAGATTGCTTAAATAAAACTTTACAAAAAAAGCATTCTGGGGGCGCCTGGGTGGCTCAGTCGGTTGAGCGTCCGACTTCGGCTCAGGTCATGATCTTGCGGTTTGTGGGTTGGAGCCCCGCGTCAGGCTCTGTGCTGACAGGTCAGAGCCTGGAGCCTGCTTCAGATTCTGTGTCTCCCTCTCTCTCTGCCCTCCCCCCTACTCACACTCTGTCTCTCTCTCCTTCGAAAGTAAATAAACATTAAAAAATTAAAAAAAAAAAAAAAAGCATTCTGTACTGAGTCTAGCAGAGTTTATCTACTTATCCGTTAATCATGTGCAAAAGAAGAGACATTTTTTCCAGCTCAGAAAATCAGAGGTGCTGCTTTGAGGCCGAGTTCCAGAGCCTTGTCAAGCCTTTTCTTTCCCTTGATTCCTTTTCCCATCCCTTGGGTTCCTCGATATCTATTAGGGTAATCATAGAGCACGTCTGCATTTTTTTGTAGAGTGGACTTGACCCTGACGAGCCTCCAAGCCGTTTAGGCCGTCTCTACTTGTATCGTCTCAACGCAGACAGCTCTGCTTGCCCCCTGCTTGAGATCCAAAGAAGAGATACTTCTGCAATCTTGGACATGAAATGGTATAACTGATAACAATTCCTCCTGTCTGGGACTTGTCGAGTATTTGTTCATTTAATCAGGGGAGACTGATGCCTGTCAGCATTCAGTAAGATGGGGACATGTCTGAACTTTGGGTTCATTTCTTTATTGTCCTGCCCACCTGTTGGCATTTGGAGGCTACTAGAGACTTGGGCTCTTTTCATTTCTGAGTCCTAGGGTTGGTATCAGTCTGGGAAGTGATGCTAGTTTTCTGATTCGTAAGCTGGGGAATCTTGAAACAGAACTGTAGGCTACAACATGGTTTTGGAATTGAAATTTAATAAGTTACTGAGGTGCATAATGCTAACCTGTGTTCTGGGCATATCCCGTGTTCTGACTGACATGTGAATTCTCTCCTCAGGTGCCATGTGCCGGTGGCCGGCCATGCCCTCTTGGGTGTGGCAGATGCTGGTGGGTCCATAGAACTGCTCCGCTTGGTGGGATCTGAGGTCAGTGACTAGGGCGAGGAGTTTTTGGGGGGTGGAAAGAATCTGAATGGAGAGGGTTTGGGCAGGAGGTTGTGCTGATATAAACCTTTTTGTGGGATGGTTTCCGTTCAATGGCAAATCGTATAAAACATTCTATTTTTTTAAAAATGCTGACTTACTTGTTTTGAGAGAGAGCGTATGGGAACATGAGTGGGGGAAGGGGCAGAGAGAGAGGGAGAGAGAGAACCCCAAGCAGGCTCCACGATGTCAGTGTGAATCCTGATGCAGGGCTCGATCCTAGAAACTGTGAGATCATGACCTGAAGCTGAAATCAAGAGTCAGAAGCTTAACTGACTGAGCCATCCAGGTGCCTCTGTCATATAACACTCTAAATTAGTACGCAATCTATTTTAAATCATTGGGTTCTGCATCTGAATTTGAGAAGAGATCAATTTATGTGTCGCCAGCAGAAGGGCTGAAGTGACAGGGTATTTACTTACCTGTCAGTGGATCTGAAAGTTCCTCTGTAAGGAAAGCTGGACCAGCATTCTTAGGTTGATGATGCTGGGGCCAAGAATGGCCGTGAATTTCTTATGTGAAAGTGGTGTTTCTCAGCCATCATTAGGAAGGCAGTTTTCTATGTGACTTTTTCAGAGCATTTGGTATTGATCAGCACCACGTGTTTGCAAAATGACTGCGTCTGATTGTTGGAAGAGGGAGAGAACAGGGAAGTAAACAGCCCACAAGACCGAGCCCTGACTTAGTGAGAGGGACACACACTGGTCCAGGGGTGTAGGTGGGACTGGAACGGGTCCACTTGCTGTTGGATTTATGGCAGCTGAGGGCGTGTGTATAATGGACCTCGCTGGCCAGCTGAGAGCAGCTGCCCTATCTCAGGAGTGAGGGAGGAAACATCCGAGGAAGACTGTGGGCCCATCAACCGGGATTCTGAGCAAGAGTAGGTAAACCCCAGAGAGGATACTGAGGAAGCAGCCTGCTAGGAGCCTTTTGATGGAGTTAAGCACTGTTCAGATACTTAGGTAATATAAAAAAAGCTTACATAAATCATAGGAAAGAGAAACAGCATTTAATGGCTAGTTGTGGCTTCTGAAAAGGAAACTGGAGGAAAGAGCCGGCTGTCTCTGTCCCTGGAGAGAGAATATGCCAGCATCCCTTGAGGCCTGAAGAGATGGAGAGTGTGTCCCAGGGGTGCTTCTTGGAGTCTGCGTAGGCAGTGCGGTTCTGTCTAGGAATGCACGGACAGCAAGGGGGTCTGAAAAACAGATCAGCTTCCCCCAGGGTCACATGTGGGAAAGCCCTTCTGCAGGTGCGTCAGCTCCTGGAGGGCAGGAGCCAGTTGTCCAGTGTCTTCTAATTCTGCCGTGAATGAGGGACTGACCCGTTTCGTTCACCTAGTAGGCGATGAGGGAATGATGGCTACCTGAGCTACAGGAGTAGTCTTTCCAAGGTTCTGGGCCGTCTCCTTCTGATAGCGTTTTCTCTCCACTAGAATGCGTACACACTGCAGCCGCTTTCCAGCTTTGCCCTGGAGAAGCAGTGTCTGGCCTTGTCTCTGGATTGGTCCACTGGGAAAATTGGAAGGTAAGAGCCGGTGTTGGTGAGGGATCCCGTCTTTCCTCTGAGCATTCGTTGCTCTTTTCATGCGAGGGAGAGTTGAAACCTTGCAGCAGCCTTGATTGTGGCTTCCTAGACTCAGGAATGTCATTACTGGTGCTCATCCAAAAAGAAACAATTCATCCTTCTAGGTAAAAGAGACAGTGTTTTCATCAAGAGAAGCTGACATGGGTTTATTTTGACAAGTTATGTGCTAGTTTTGATTTCTGCCAGATGCCCAAACCTGTTAACAGGCACATCCGTGCATCAGGCCCATGGACAGCCTCTCCCATGACACGTCTCGGGATGCCACCAGTCGGGAACCAGAAGTGGGTGATGAGTTTGGGTCAATGAATAAATTCAGCTGGGTTTCTCCATTGGTTCTCTGTGTCTAGGGCCAGTGACCAGCCCTTGAGAATCCTTAGCAGTGACTCCAAGGGGCAGCTCTACCTGCTAGAGGTGAATGAGGAGGGGCCTGGGCTGCAGGAGGTGGCCATGTGGCAAGCCCATCACTTTGAGGCCTGGATTGCGGCTTTCAATTACTGGCAGACAGAAATCGTTTATTCAGGTTGGTACTTCTCCCCTGGGGATCGATCCTAGGAGGGAGGGAGTGAGCAGGTGAGGCCCAGGTCAGGGCTGTGACTCTGGACATGTTGGGATCGTGAAAACCCTTTGTGGAGAATGTATTTTCTGGGGCAAAAGCTGTTAGTTGGTACTCAACACTTAGCTATTCCTTAGAAAACAAAGCACACCTGGCCGTGGGCATTGGAGGGCGTTGGGGGACACTGCCCCCAGTGTTGGAGCAGCCGGAGCCCTGCCTCCTGCCGTGTTTGCTCCTGCTCCGAGAAATCCAGGGTTCCCACATTTTCCATTGCCATCTCTGGGTCCAGTGTTGGGCTTGTCACGTTGGATTTCAGGCTGTCACTCCTCTCTTGGGTCCAGTTTACCTTCCCAAAGAAAAGCCTGAGAGGGGTAGAATTGATTTCCTGACATTGTGAATGGTATGTATTGGGGGTGCTGATGTGAGGACGAGAAATGAACACACCTGACGTTTGCAGGAACCAGGTAGCTGAGCAGCCTCTCTTCCCCAGGTGGTGAGGACTCTTGGGAGATGGGGGGTGGGGGGCACGGGGCATTGGCCTCTGAGAGAAGACAGAAGGGGAGTCGCTGGATTTGCAGAGAGGCAAAGAGAAGATCTGACCCTCGTTTCCTTTTGCGTCTAGTTGCTGGTGGTGTACTGAGCCGTACAGTGAGTCGTGAGGTCAGGGACGTTCTGTTAGACTGTCCGGAAGCTCCGTGGCCCACCCCGCTCCGCCAGAAGCACTCTTGGGGAGGTCCTCAGTGGCGGCCACGGTGCCTGGTCCAGGGAGTACCTCTCAGCAATGCTCCCACGCCGGCCTCCTCCCGGTGCAGTCTTTTCTCTGCGTTATCCCGGGCTTCCCTCTTCTTTCTGATTGCTTCTCATTCCTTTGCTGGCTCCTTTCCCTCTGCTTGAAAGTGTTCCTTGTCCTCTGGCCTGTCTGGGTGCTCTTGTCGCTCTGCATTGTTGCTCTTTTGATTCCAGCTGCTCTCTCTTCCAGAAACAATTGCATTCTGGTTGCTTAAGCAGACCTTTTTTGCTTGTTTGCTTTCTTTCTTTCTTCTTTCTTTCTCTCAAGGAAATTTTACTAATTTATTTTGAGTAATTTCTGCACCTAGCATGGGGTTTGAACTCATGACCCTGAGATCAAGTTACACACTCTTCAGACTGAGCCAGCCGGGTGCCCTAGACCTTTCTTCCCCCTGAGCTCTTGATGCCTTTATCTTGCCAGCTACCAAGCACTCTGCAAGGATGCTTCCGGGGTGGGGGGGATGGGGGGCAACTTCAGCTCAGGTCATGATCTCATGGTTACTGAGATCGAGCCCTGCATCAAGCTTTGCACTGACAGCATGGAGCCTGCTTGAGATTCTCTGTCTCTGCCCCTCTCCTGCTCGTGAGTGCTTTCACTGTCTCACACACTATCTCTTTCAAAGATAGATAAACAGGGGCGCCTGGGTGGCGCAGTCGGTTCAGCGTCCGACTTCAGCCAGGTCACGATCTCGCGGTCCGTGAGTTCGAGCCCGGCGTCAGGCTCTGGGCTGATGGCTCAGAGCCTGGAGCCTGTTTCCGATTCTGTGTCTCCCTCTCTCTGCCCCTCCCCCGTTCATGCTCTGTCTCTCTCTGTCCCAAAAAAATAAATAAACGTTGGAAAAAAAAAAAACAACAAAGATAGATAAACATTAAGATGGGGTGCCTGGGTGGTTCAGTCGGTTGAGCGTCCGACTTTGGCTCAGGTCACGATCTCACAGCTTGTGAGTTCAAGCTGCGCGTCGGGCTCTGTGCTGACAGCTCGGAGCCTGGAGCCTGCCTCGGATTGTCTCCCTCTCTCTCTGCCCCTAACCTGCTCGCATTCTGTTTCTGTCTTTCTCAAAAATAAATAAAACGTTTAAAAAAATTTAAAAAAAATAACGTTAAAAAAAAAAAAAGGATGCTTCCTGGGCATTTCACATGTGGATCCTGGCTCAGGCCATTGTCCCTGTGTTGTCCTGTTGCACACAGCTCCTACCTAATGTCCCGACCCCAGGGCAGGGTCTGGCTGCCCAAATCAGACACCAGCGTCCCCTCACCCCTTCCAGAAGTGGGAGTCCTAATGATCTTCCAAGCATCTCAGAATTGGCCATCTCTTTCTCTTGCCACCTGTTGGGGGCACTGTCTCATCTCCCGGCAGAGCCCTGAAGGATGGCCCTGCATTCATTCTTGAGCCTTTCTTTTTTTTTTTTTTTTTTTTTTTTTCAACGTTTTTATTTATTTTTGGGACAGAGAGAGACAGAGCATGAACGGGGGAGGGGCAGAGAGAGAGGGAGACACAGAATCGGAAACAGGCTCCAGGCTCTGAGCCATCAGCCCAGAGCCTGACGCGGGGCTCGAACTCACGGACCGCGAGATCGTGACCTGGCTGAAGTCGGACGCTTAACCGACTGCGCCACCCAGGCGCCCCATTCTTGAGCCTTTCTAATCCTGCCTCCACACTGTAGCTAGAGCGATTGTTTTAAAACATGCGAACTTGGGGTGTCTGAGTGGCTCACTCAGTTGAGCCTCTGACTTCAGCTCAGATCATGATCTCACGCTTCATGGTTCGAGACCCACATCGGGCTCTGTGCAGACACCTCAGCCTGGACCCTGCTTTGTATTCTGTGCCTCCCTCTCTCTGCCCCTGCCCTGTTTACGTGCTGTCTCCCTGTATTTCTCAAAAACTTTAAAAAAAAAAAAAAAAAACTACAAACATGCAAACGTTATCACACTTCACTCGTGGTTAAACCCTTTGCAGCTTCTCTCCAGAATTCTTGGTGCAATCCCCCCAGCGACATTGTGGCTTTGCATATCGGGTCCCTGCCTGCCTCTCCAGCCAGTTTTGAGTGATGGCTTTTTCCTCACCCATTCAGTGTTCTCTCCAGTCTCCATGCTTACCCGAACTGTTCTTTTTTCCCCAATCTCCGTGTTGGACCACCGGTTTGTTCTGCTTTTCTGGCAGGGCTCAGCTTAAAATCCTATCCTGGAGATACTGGCCCGGTTCAACCCCTTATTGCTGTTTGGGCTCATCCTCATTGTGTCTAATGCTCATCTTCCCCTGACAGCTGGGTCCTTTCTGCGTTTTTTTGCTGTCACACGGTGAACAGTCTCAGTGACAACAATAGAGGTTTAATTTCTTGAGGTCTTCTCATTCTTGGATTAGTTCTACCTTGAGGCTCAGCTAATTCAGAGCCAAGCATAGTGGAGGCTGTGATGTTGTAATTCCGCACCAAGTCGTTTATTCAGTGAACGTTTGTTGAGCGTCTAATGTGTGCCATGCGCCGCTATAGGTGCCAGAGACACATGAGTCTACGAGACAGAAGCCCTGCTTTCCCTGAACTTACACAGAGAGGAGACGGGCAGTGGTCACAAAGCGTGACACAGAATGAGTGAAGAGAGGGCACAGCGGCTCAGAGGTGAGAAGTGCTTCGGTGGGCTGTGACTGGGGGATTGGGGTGCTGTGGGCAGGTGCAGCCTGTCCTGTCACAGAGCATGGTCATGGTGGACAGAGGTAGGGCAGGAGTGAGCCTGCTGCATGAGGACAGCAAGTGGCTGTGTGGCCAGAATGGCAGGTGGCAGAACAGAAGGTGAGATCAAAGTTCACGTGGCCTTGCGGGCCTCGGGATGGACTTTGGCTTTGGCTCAGACTGCAACAGAAGCCATAGCAGGATGTTGAGCAGAGGGGTGACGTTTTCTGACTTAATGTTGCAGAACAGAAGGGGATCTTTTTTCCTAATGTGTCGAGCATAGACTGCAAGGAGACGAGGGCAGAGCCTGGGGACCTGCCATACAGGTGGTGGCAAGAAGGCCTCAGACTGAGTTGGGAGCAGTGCACGCGAGGGAAAGGTGGTAGGACTTTGGTTGTATGTGTGAAGGTGGCTTGTCAGGATGTCCTGGTGGATGGATGTGGGGTGTGAGACAGACCAGCGTGTAAAGAAGCCAGTACCAGCTTTCTCTGCAAATTTGCCACAGGACGGCAGCTCAGATTGGAGGCTCACCTGCAGGTGTCCTGCCTGGCTGGACCGGTTCTGTTGGTCTGCGTAGCTGTAGGTCATGTTCCTCCTGTATCCCTTCTGTCTGTCCTAGGGATCTGCAGTGTGCTCAGTGAGCATGTGTTGGATGGGCGGAGTGGAGCAAAGGTGGCTAGGTGGTGGGTGGGTATAAGGAACGATACACGGTTGAGTGGATGGATGGACGGACAGACGGATGGACGGAGTGGTCAGACCTAGGTGGTTTTCTTTCGCTCTTCATCCTCCCTGTGGGCCCTGCTTTTCAGCCTTTCTCCCCTTCCTTCGAGGTAGCCACCATCACACTATATCTTGTTGCTGTCTTCAAAGACTGGTTATGGATTAGGGTGGCGGCTCCCTACCCTTCCTGTTTTTTCAGATTCCCTAAGATAAGCCCAGAGGTCCTTTTACTGTAAGGTTACAAAATGTACTTCCCTTTAAAAAAAAAAAATTTTTTTTTATTCTTTATTTTTGAGAGAGAGACAGCATGAGCAGGGGAGGAACAGAGAGACAGAGAGGGAGACACAGAATCCGAAGCAGACTCCAGGCTCTGAGCTGTCAGCACAGAGCCCGACTCAGGGTTCGAACTCACGAACCAAAAGTTCATGACCTGAGCCGAAGTTGGACACTCAACCGACTCAGCCACGCAGGTGCCCCAGGTGACTTTAAGATAAATGGAGGTGTGCTGAAGGTTCCAGAACCTTAAGAAGTGCTTGTGTTGGGCCCCTGGATGGCTCAGTCAGTTGAGCGCCCAACTTCGGCTCAGGTCTGATCTCCCTGTTCGTGAGTTCAAGCCCCACTTTGGGCTCCGTGCTGACAACTCAGAGCCTGGAGCCTGCTTCGAATTCTGTGTCTCCCTCTCTCTCTGCCCCTCCCCAACTTGCACTCTGTGTGTCTCTCTCAAAAAATAAACATTAAAAAAAAAATGCTCGTGTTTGCTGCCTCCTGCATATAGATCCTGTTCTGAGTTCCTTGATAAGGCAGCTCTGGTTTGTGGCAGCTAGGAGCATTGGTTGCTGGAGCCTGAACAGAAGGCACTTTAGCCACATGTGACCTGAAAATTCTTCCCCTGACTTCTTGTCCTTCCCTTTCATTCCTGTAGGCTGAGCTCATCAGCCTTTCCTGTCTTCCCTGCAGGTGCCCTCTTCAAGTGTGAAGACACAGTCACAGCACAGGCCTCTTTCTGGGGTGCTGTTTCTGGAGCTCTTCTGCCTGGTGCCAACCTGAAACCACCCAGGAAAAGTCCTTCACGGGGATTTCCTCACAGGCATACATTCCCTCCCTGAGAAGCGGCTGCTTCCTGTCGTCAGTGCCACGGTCAGTGGGCGTTTCTGTTTCCACACAGGTGGGGACGATGGTCTTCTGAAAGGCTGGGACACCAGGACACCTGGCACATCTGTGTTCACTAGCAAGAGGTAAATTCATCAAGGGGCCGGCCCTAGGCGTGTACCACCAGCCTTCCCATCCCTCCTCCGCGGACTTTCCACCAGAGACGTGTCCCTGTGTGCGCACTCGCTCAAACCTTGCACTTTGCCTGTAGGCACTCCATGGGTGTGTGCAGCATCCGCAGCAGTCCCCATCGGGAGAACATCCTGGCCACGGGAAGGTGAGTCTCTTAGGGTTTGTGCACGGGTCCATCTTGCGTCTTTCCTTTCATTTTCTCATGTTGACCGTTGCAGTTTTTAATTGGACCAACTCTTAATGTTTACTTATTTGTTTTTGAGAGAGAGAGAGAGAGAGAGAGAGCGCGCGCACATGTGTGCACGCGGGGGGAGGGCCAGAGAGAGAGGGAGACAGAGGATCCCAAGCAGGCTCTGTGCTGTCACACAGTGCCTGATGTGGGGTTCGATCCCCTGAACCATTAGATCATGACCTGAGCCGAAATCAGACATTTAACCGACTGAGCCACCCAGACGCCCCCAGTTGGACCAACCCTTAAACCAAAGTGTAGGTATCTGGGCTGGGGAAAAGGAACTTTGTCCTAGAGGAATGAATGGGATGGGCCTGCTTGGGAGATGTCCCCCCTGCCGCCTAGGGAATAAGTGGGCATTGACTTTCCTGCATGATCCCTGCGCTGGATGGCTTTCAGCTACGACGAACACATTCTACTGTGGGACACTCGGAACATGAAGCAGCCTTTTGCAGACATGTCCGTGGGGGGCGGAGTGTGGCGGCTCAAGTGGCATCCTTTCCACCGCCACCTGCTCCTGGCAGCGTGTATGCACGGTGGCTTTAAGATCTTCAACTGCCAAAAGGCAATAGGTGAGTAGGGGGCTTGGGGCAGTCAGGCCTGGGGTGGGGCTTCCCAGTTTCCTGCCCCCTTGCTCTGCCAGTGCTTCACTTCTGCTCACGCTGCCTTGCTCACGCTCTGTGAGCAGAACCCAGCACTGGTCAGACCCAGCTCAGACTTGGGCCTGAGCCCCAGAAGGTGGCTGGAGGGAAAGGGCAGCCCTGCGGGCGGGCCTCACTCTGAGTTCGTGCTGCGGGAGGGCCTGGGAACCGCCAGGCCCACCACCGCCTTTCTCTGGCCAGTAAGTCTTCACTGTCAGGACCGTTGCACGTTTTCTTCTCTTTTCGCAAACGCCCAACGCCCCCTTCCCCTCCTCATTCTCCCTTCGTGACTCCACCTCCCTCCTCATCTATACAAAGAAGTGATTAAGGCACCACCTCTCCGCTCTGCAGGCCTGTCTCCTGTGTGCTGGGCCACGCCCCAGGACTTCCTGTTCTGCAGGGGCACAGGTGCGCTGCCCTGTTCTCAGCTGAAAGCCCCGTGAGGTCTCTTTTCCCACGTATTTGCTGCTTTCGCTGTACCCCTTCGCTTTTGGGGTGCGGAGTCTTTTCATTCACCTCAGGGTGCTTCCTCATTTCCCTCGTGGTTTCCTCATTGACTCATTGGTTGTCCATCAGTGTGTTGCTTAGTTTCCACATTTTTGTGACTGTCCTGAATTTTTTCCTGTTCCTGATTTCTAATTATATTCTAAGTTTACTGAGGCTTGTCTTGTGGCCTCAGACGTGGTTGGTCCCAGAGAGTGCCCCACGGGCTTTTGGGAAGAGCGTTCTCCGCAGCTGTGGGTGGAGTGCCCTGTTCCCGTGTTCTCTGGGTTTTCTGTCTGGTTGCTCTTTTAAATCATCGCTACACCCAGTGTGGGGCTCGGACCCACAGCCCCAGAATCGAGAGTCACGGGCTCCACCGGCTGAGCTGGCCAGGTGCCCTGGTTGCTCATTATTGAAGGTGGGGTAGTGAAGTCCCCCACTGTTACGGATGTATCGCGTCCTTCCTCATTTCTGTCCGTTTTTGCCTCGTGTATCGTGGGGTTCTGTTAGGTGCGTGTGGTGTCTATAACATTTGCATTTCCCTAATGTATAGACTCTCTTCATTGTCAGGGTCCTTACTTACTTCCAGTAACTGTGTTTGAGGGTCTGAGCCGTCTGGTGTCCTCAGAGCCATCCTCGTTCTCTCTGGCTGCTCTGCGCACTGCGACTGTACTGCCTTTTGCTCTCAGTCTGTTGATGGCCTGGAGTCTGCAGTGCGTCTCCTGTACTGGGTCGTGGCTCTTTGTCAGGAACATTATGGAAGTGACATTCTGCCTTCTTTAATGCGTTTCGTCAGGAGGCACAGGATGCCACTTTGTCCTTTCACTGCTGATGTTAATTTGGTCACTTGGTTAAGGTCTCCCCTGGGTTTCTCTGCTGTAAAAATACTGTTTTCCCCTGTGTGATTAATAATAACTAGCCTGTGGTTAGAGTGAACCTTTTTATTCCTCATCAGACTTCCACTCAAATCCATTAATGAGTCTTCCCTGAATGAAATTATTACTATAATTGCAAAATGGTGATTTTGTCACTATTATCATACTCTGTACATTTTAAAATTAGCATTCACTTTTCTCCCATATATCTGTGTTTATTAACCATATAGATTCATGCATTTTTATGTCATTCAGTGGGTCATAATCTATTATAGTCATCGTTCATTACAATGTTCTCATTGTCCTAGACTTTTCCCATGAAAACCCCTTAAGCTGTCTCCTGTGTCCTTTTCACATGTCCCTATTGGTTTTTGAGTACTTCCTCGCTTTTTGGCACAAAACATTTCACATTCATTTTGTATTTTGCCTCTCCCATACCTGGAATCAGCTATTTCTTCAGGGTGTCCTGGGTCCTCTTAGTGGCGAGTGTGTTTAGAATCCAAGATCTGGTCATTAGTTGGTCTTACAGCTACTAAGGTGTTGTGTATGGCTGTGTGTGCGTGCGCGCACACATACATATGTATGTGTACGTTTATGTATAACGTGTACACGTGTGTGGTTATACGTATGTGGATACGTTTGTGTGTATATATGGTTACATAATCATGTGTGCTTGTGTGTATATGTGTGTGTCCACATGTATGTATGCATATCCCTATTCCATGGTGTCTCCCTTCTCCAGTGAAAAGTTGCTCCCAGCAAACTCTTACTTACACGCTTCACCTCACAGAGTTGTTACTGTGCTGCACCTAAGACAAACCTGTGAAGGGAACTCAAAATGCTCTTACAGCTCTTTTTTGTGAGATTGATTTGATATTGTCAGAGTGCTGTGTTCAAAGGTTACTTGGAAGTGGGTTTTTATTTATTTGAAATACAATTAGGTTTATTTGTTTCCTTTTTTAAAAATTATTTACTTATTTATTTTACACAGGTTTTTTTTGTTTGTTTGTTTTTTGTTTTTTTTAATGTTTATTTTGGAGAGAGAGACCAAGCACAAGCTGGGGAGGGGCAGAGAGAGGGAGACAGAGGATCCAGAGCAGGCTCTGCATTGTCAGCACAGAGCTGAATGCAGGGCTTGATCTTATGAACTGTGAGATCACGACATGAGCCAAAATCGGATGCCCAACAGACTGAGCCACTGAGGTGCCCCCATATTTCTGTTTTATAAATTCTCTTTGTCCATCTTTTGCCAATTTTTCTTTCTTTCTTGTCTTTTTCCCCCTTGATTTTACAGAGTTCTTATATATTAGTGTATTAGCTCCTTACCTCTGATATACATTGGAAATATATTCTCTTGCTTTATTGTCTCATTTTTGCCTCTGGTGTCCACCCCTCCCCCCAAGCAAAAGGCGCTTTTTTTTTTTTTTTTCTTAAACACATAATCTCTATGCCCAACGTGGGGCTTGAACTCATGCCCCCGAGATGGAGTTGCCTGCTCTACCAACTGAGCCAGCCAGGTGCCCCAACGGCGCTTTTTAATGTAATCACATTTATAGATATTTTTTTCCACTGAATCTTCTACATTTTGAATATTAGTGTTAAAAAGCTTTTCCCCTTTCACACTCAGGTTGTAAAAGAATTTACCAGTGTTTTCTTCTAGTACTTGTAGCGCCATGTATTTAGTTAGAACTTTGGTCTGTGTTGTATGTGGTGTAAGCAGCTATCCCAACACCATTTATTACAAAGTCCATCTACCCCCAGTGAATCAAGATGCCACTCTTCTTGTGTTCCGTACTTTCATGGCTTTTTTTGTTGTTGTTGTTGTCGTCTTTCGAGTCCCATTGGATGTCTCTTCATGTGTCTGCACCCACTGCTGTGATTGTGGAGGCTTGGTGGTGTCTTTGTAATAGCAGGGTTACTGGCACCTTCACTTTTCCTTTTTAAGGATTTCCTAACTATTCTTGTATTTGAACTTGACATTAACTTATCTTGTCCCAGAAAAAAGTTATTGGATTTTTATAGATAGATAGATAGATAGATAGATAGAAAGAAAGAAAGAAAGAAAGAAAGAAAGAAAGAAAGAAAGGTAGATATTGAAACATTTAAAAAAAGGTGGGGTGGGGGGAGCTTGTTGGATCAGTGGGTTGAGTGTCTGACTTCAGCTCAGGTCATGATCTCACAGTTTGAATTTAAGCCCCACATGAGGCTCTCTGCTGTCAGCATGGAGCCCACTTCGGATCCTCTGTCCTCCTCTCTCTTTGCCCCTCCCCTACTTATTCTCTCTCTCTCAAAAATAAACATTAAAAAAAAAAGTAGGATTTTGGCTTTTTGTTACAGTTGTGTTGTTTTTCTGTTCTCTGTCTCATCAGTTTCTCCTTTTATGTTTGTTTCCCTTTGTCTCCTTTTTCTAGCATTTTGAGTTGGGAGTACAGTTCACTTTTCTTTATTATTGTGTTTGTATTAAGCTTTTTTTTTTTCTTAAGTTTATTGATTTATTTAGAGTGCTTGTGTATGCGAGCAGGGGAGGGGCAGAGAGAGAATCTCAAGCAGACTCTGAGCTGTCAGTGAAGAGCCTGACTTGGGGCTCGATCCCACAAACCATGAGATTATGAGCTGAGCTGAAACCAAGAGTTGGACGCTTAACCGGCTGAGACATCCAGGCACCCCTGCATTAAGTGTTCCTATGTCTGAAATGTTCTCTGATTCAAGCATATTTTTAGGTTGTGAGATGTAATGATCTCATTTTTCAAAAGAAATTCTGTGACTTGAGTTCGTACTTTCCCTTTTGCCCAAGTGTGGTTTCGTAGGAGGTTTTAAATTTTTTAGGTAGAAGGACTTTTTTGTCCCTTTGTGTTAGTTTTAGTTTTTATTGCATTATGATCAGAGAGTGTTGCTTGCTTGTACTATTTCTCCTTTGTGGAACTTTTTGATTCTTTGTTGCTTAACATGATCTGTTAATATTCTGTGTGCACTTGGGTAGGAGATATGCTCTTTGTTATTGTTTGACTTGGGGCCCGGAATGGGGTCCTGGGTGGGAAAGCCCTGTGGCCCTGTCTCTGAGTCCCATCCAGGCTACCATGGAGGGACAGTGATGGTCCGGGGCGCTCCCTCCCTTGCTCGTGTTGCCTGAGTGCCTTTCTGGCTGTCTGGGGACGTTCAGCATCTGGTTCCTCTCTGGAGCCTCTTCTGTCCAGGCAAAGCCCTGGCTTCGGGAGTAGGATCTCCTGTGCTCTGGTGGCACTCTCAGCGTTTCCTGGTTCCAGCACTGACCTGGTCTACACTTCTTGGCCTTTCTTCATCACTGCTCATTTTGATTGCAGTTATTCTTCCTTTTTTTCTTGTTTTAAGTTTTATTTATTTATTTTGAGAGAGAGAGTACAAGCAGGGTAGGGAAAGAGGGAGAGGAAGAAAGAGAGTCCCAAGCAGGCTCCACACTGTTAGCGCAGGCCCAACGGGGGGTTCGAACTCATGAACCGTGAGGTCATGACCTGACCTGAAATCTAGAATCAGACACTTAACTGACTAAGCCCCACCGGCGCCCCTCTGATTGCACTTCTGATGGCTCTGGCCTGGACCCTTGCACTTGGGAGGCATCAGTGGCACCCCTTTCAGAGTGTGTAGCTGTCCAGGCTTACTAAAGACCTGAATGGCCAACAGGCCTTTCACCTGGTGACAGTTTTCTAAGTTCACATCCCCAGGTCACTGGCCACCAGTTTTTTATGACTGCTCTTGCCATGCTTGGCCTTGCCCTGGACCCTAGATTACCTCAGCTTTGGCAACACCTTGTCATTTCTTTTTCTGGTCGAATATTGCTTTCAAACCTTCCACAGCTGAACCTCTTTCCAGTCTTGTCCTCCACCCTCAAAGTTGCTATAGCAACTCACCAGAAGGAAAACCACATAAACTCCAATGAGTCCTTTCCAAGCTCAAATCCAGACTTTACAGAGCACGCTGAATTCTGTATGGTTTTGACCCTCCAGACACGTGTCGCCACTCCCCGAGGGCATTTCTGCCACATCTACTTGTTTGTGGTTCCCCAGATGTGTCCTGTTACCTTACACACGCTTGTTCTCTGTTTCTCATGCGTCCCTGTCTCTCCCATCTGGCTAACTGCTTTGTCCTCTGCTCTGAAGTCTTAACTGAAGCTTTTGCCAAGTCCTCCAACTTGGAAAGGCACCGTCACCCTTGTGCTTCTGTAGCCAGGCCGATTCCTTTGTTAGGCACCACAGTGTACTCACTGCAAGATGAAGGTCTGTTTTCTTCTCATCTCTCCACGTCTCAAGGATTCCTTTGCATCGTGCACAATGGTTGCTGACAAATGAGTGACTGCTTTTAGCAAAGTCTCCCTTTGAGAGTGGGCAGGGGCCATCATTTGGTAGTGATGAGATCAGCCTGGGTAACGTCACATTTCCTGTATTCTGTCTCATTCCAGAGGAGAAGCAGGAAGCCTGCACAGTCTCTGCATCCCACACATTGCCCAACTCATTGGTGTATGGAGCCGACTGGTCCTGGCTGTACGTCCACAATCCATTACAGACCTGCCAGTCATGCTGCTCAGGTTCCTCTCCCTGCAGCAACTCAGGAGCCAAAGAAGCACATCTCTCAAACCTGAAGGCTGTGCACCAGTCACCAGCACCGTCTTACGATCATTTAGCAGAGAATGAAGAAGGTCATACCAGACTTCAGAGCGGAAGCAAACCGAGGACTTCTGTCCAGGCACTCGCAGAGGACATGATGAAGAGTGACAGCCAGCTGCACACTGCAGGGACCAAGGTTTGTGACTCTGACCTCTATCTGGAAGCAGCGAACTTTGACATCAGCTTCCTAACTACTTGCTCCTTTTATGATCATATCCTTCACCTCTGGAAGTGGGAAAACATCTGAGCTGGGGAAGAGGTTGCTTGGCTTGAAGTCAAAGACCATTTCCACAAAGAAAGCCCAGAGTGCAACTTTGTGAGTGAACTGCTGTCAGACCGTCTCATTGAGATTCCTATTGTAGTCTCCACAGGTGACTGTATAGGGCTCAGTGTACCTTATGTCCACAGTGTAAACAGTCAAAAAAGCTATTGGCTTCTCTTAAATAAACCTTATCGGGGGCGCCTGGGTGGCTCAGTTCGTTAAGTGTTTAACTTTGGCTCAGGTCACGATCTCACAGGTTTGTGAGTTCAAACCCCACATCGGGCTCTGTGCTGATGGCGAGGAGTCTGCTTGGGATGGTGTCTCTTCCTCTCTCTTTGTATGCCCATCCCCCATTCACATGCAGTCTGTCTCAATAAACAAACTTTAAAAAAAACAAAGATCACCTTATTATGGCACCAGAAGTGCTCGTATTAGCCTCCTATGCAGATAAACAAAAGGAAGCCTACACACATTGAATTGCCTTAGCGTGTCATAAACTTGAAACGTTCCCCATTGTGGCGTTAGTAACCTGAGTAGCTTCCGAAGCTTGGACACATACTAACTCCAAGAACATAACTGGGTTTGTGACTCATCTGACTCCCATAGTTCATTCTTGTCTGTCTGGAAGGAACAGTAGTTGAAGTGCAGGCTAGTGTAGAATTTGTCAAATTTCTACCAATATTCTGTTGTAGGTGATCAGAGTCAGAAAACACACACTTCTATTCTTTATTTTCTGATGAAAATATAGGGTCAGAACATGTAAGAAATTACTCTGTAAAAATGATCATTTCCCAGCTAATCGTGCATTTATTTCAACACAAGAATTTGAACCCTCCTTAAGAGTTTGTGTTAATGGTATTTAACTAAGGGTCAATTAAATATGAAGCAGAATATGTAAGACTTCAGGGACTATGCACTGAAACCGGGGAACCCAGAGGGGAGACTGTAGACTACGGGAGGTTTTGCCCCCAGAATAGTTGTTTTTCAACCCATAAAGAATATGCTGACTGGTTTCGGCAGTGAAGAATCTGGGGGGACAGATAACCAGTGTTGTCATGTGGCACCATGTGCCTTGTGAATTCTCCTTCCGTGTCTTCTCGCCCTTGGCCTACCTCCCCAGAACTTTTTGGTTGGAAAGACAGTGCTTCCAGTTTCACCGGGAACAGGGCCTCTGTGCGAGCTCTGCCTCGCTCACTACACCTGGATCTATCATGCTGCACCCTTTCATCTCACAATGATCAGATGCCAAAACCAACACCAGACGGTAGCTAAGGTCTTTAATAGGAACAAAACGAAGGAAATGCCTCCCCGCTCGCCCACCCCGGGACCAGCGGTCGGGGGCGATGGCCGGACGCAGTCCACAGGCACACCCAGCGGCTGCCACTCCTCGGCTCCTAGCGCGGGAAGTTCTTGGGGTACAGCTGGAAGAGCTTGCCTTCCTGCGTGGGCTCAAAGCCGTACTTGTCCAGCTGCTCCGGGTCGAAAGTGCCGTCCCTGTAGTCCTTCTCGATAGCAGGTGCCACTGCCTCCCGGAACAGCTGCTCGGCCGTCAGCGGCACGTCTGTGCCCGCCGGGACGCGGTAGTTCACATAGGGCTTGAGCTTGAAGCCAGCCAGCTCGGGCACCACCAGCTCCGGGACCATTTCCTTGACCTGCACGAACTTCCCGTCGCGGGCGTGCACGCCGGTGCCCTTGGTACCACGGCTCTTATAGAAGGTACGTGGGCCCCGCTTGCTGGTCCACCTACTCATGCGGTCGGCGCCCCGCACCACGATGCGGGCCGCGCCGCTCAGGAGGCCCATGCTGGGTGGATCCTGCAGGATGCGCGCGTCCTCCGAGCCAGTTCACGCGTACGAGGCCGCCACCAGGCGAACTTTTGCAGGTCTCTGCAGCACGGCACTCAGCTTCCGGCTCTCGTGGATGACTTCCGGCAGTCCGCGCGGCTTCCGGCGCCGTCAGGCCTCTGCGCCGCTGCAAAGCAGCTCCGATTGGCTGCACTGCGTCCAATGCGCAGCCTCCACCCTGCGAGTGGGCGGGACCTCCAGGCCCCGGCCAATGCGCGTGGAGGTCCGGCGTCCGCGGCGGGGCGGCGGGAGCGCGGACGTCGGCGGTCCGGCGGCGGGGTAGTGACGGGAGCGCGGACGTCGGCGGCCCGGCGGTGGGGGGTAGTGACGGGAGCGCGGGCGTCGGGCGCGCGCGGTCCCGGTGAGTCCCAGCAGAGCGCCCTGAGGTTCTGGCGGGTCCCGAGAGGAAGGGTAGCCATTAGCTGCCCCACCCGGTGACGGACGCACACCGCCCCACAGGCCCGCGCGGCCCTGCGCTGCGCGGTGAGCCGCCTGTGGGAGGCGGAGCCGTGTCCTCTCGGTCGTCCGGACACTAACCACCGCTTCCAACCCCGACTCCGGTCAACCCCGAGCCCCCAACTCTGAGGTCCCCCAACCCTGAGTCCCGACCCCGCTGCCTGTCAACCCAAGCCGCCCAACTCCAACGGCCTTCAACCCCGAGCCCCCTAACCTCGACGCCCCCTTCACCCCGACACCCGTCAACCCCACGCCTGTTAACCCCAAGGTTACCCAACCTGATGACCCTCCAAAATGACACCCCCAACCTGGATGGCCACTAACCCCGGTGCCTCCTAACCTGCCGTTTCCCAACCCTGCAGCCCACTTGCGCCCCTTCCCTCTGGCTCTGTGCTGTCCCAGATGGAGAAGCAATGGCTTCCACTTTGCCTCCCTAGCACGCGCTGGGGGCCATGAGCTCTACCCCACCTCAAATGTGCAGGGTGGGGTGCGTGGGGAGACTGCCTGGTCAGGGCACTAGCAGACCACAGAGCTGGGGTCAAGGGCGCTGCTGGCCTTTCAGGAGACTGAGAAGGAAGGGTTCTCCATGTGGTGGCAGAGGACACAGGACATTTGACCCAGGAGAAAGTGGGCTATGACCTTGCATCTGCCTTCTGCATCCTGATTTCTCTGGGTGGGATTTTGGAAGAGATAAATCCTCCCTTGTTGCTGCTTTTCTAAGGGGTCTGGGAGCCACAAGGTGAAGGCCCCAGACCTGGCTCCTCACCTCTAGACAGGGGGAAAGTGAACCAGGCAGGTCCTCAATTCATCATCTCCTGGACCCAACACACCCACCTTGAGGTCAACCACACCGGATAGGAAATCCCCTGACACAGGCCACTAGGTGTTCTCACAGTCTGCTGCCTGGCCTGGCCCCACACACCCCTACCTCACCCCCCAGCCACAGCCCCATCGCCGAGGCACTGGGAGCTCCTGGCTGCACTAGGCCTTGGCTGAGCTGCCCACACCTGCCTTTGACCAGCTGGGAGAGGAGTAGGACTTGGCTGCGGTTCCGGGTTCCCGGGCAGCCATGGGAGAGCTGTTTACAGAGAGGGAAGTGGCTCTGGTGTTTCTCTTCTTGGAGAACACAGCTTTCCACCAGGGTTTTCCTTTCAGTGAAGACATAATTTAAGGAGAAGAGGAACCCAGGAGAAAAGGCTGAAGGCATTGCTCTGCCGCATGAGCGTGAGTTGAGGGAACATTTGCCCTGAACCAGTGCTTCTTTTCACCTTGACTGTTTTTTTCATTTTTAGCCATGAAGCAAGAGGAAGATGCCAGCCCAGAGGTATGGAACTAGATGGTTCCGGGGATGAATCAGAGCCTCAAAATTCCCAGTTAGGGGTGTTTCTGCATTTGCTCTGTGGGCAGCTCCTTGAAGTTGGCTAAATGTGGGAGAGGTGGTCTGGGCCCCCCTGTCTCCTTGTCGGATCTTGAGGCCACTTCTTCTCTGAGGTCAAAACTCAGTTCCTGCTCCCCCTTAGGACTTCTGCTTGTTTGTTTAAAAAAATTTTTTTTAATGTTTATTTTTCAGAGAGAAAGAGAGAGAGAGAGAGAGAGAGAGAGTGAGTGTGTGAGTGAGGGAGTGGTAGAGAGAGGGGAAGACACAGAATCCAAAGAGGCTCCAGGCTCTGAGCTGTTAGCACAGAGCCTGATGTGGGGGCTTGAACCCATGAACTGTGAGATCATGATCTCAGCTGAAGTCAGATGCTTAACTGACTGAGCCACCCAGGTGCCCCAGACTTCTTGTTTTGATGGGAGTCTTTTCCTTAGTGGAACATCTGTAGCTACATCACAAAGGCCTTTCTCTATTCCTGAAACAGAAAAGTAGATACATTAAAACAACCACGAAAGCCTGAGATGCTCAACCATACGAAATTATATAACTAGATTATGGGACACCTGTGTGACCCTTTCCGTGGATATCCCTGGTTGTCCCCAAAGCGGTGGTTGAGCTCTAAGGGACACACTTAGTGAAGGGTGTGGTTGTGAGTGCTGTCATGTTGAGAGCTGAGCACAATTGAGGCCAGGAGAGGCTGGATGCCTCAGCTCTGAAGCAAAAAACTCCCACAGCTTCCATTTGCCTCCTGAACCAAGTTCAAAAACATGGTTTTCTGGACCACTTACTTATTCTGCCTTGAGGCAACCGATATTCTGCTTTTGAGACCCTTTTCTGAATGCCCTTCCATTTCACTGGGTTTTCTGGTGTCTAATGCTGGCTTCTGCTTTAGTTCTTGGCACTTGTGTAGAAACTAGAGAGGATTAACAGGGGCTCCCTGCCCTCTCCTCTTCCTGGCCTCTTGGGAGGAGGTGTGTGGGCACCAGGAGGAATGCACAGTGGCTGCTTATTTCACTGGTTTCTCTTGCTTGTTTTCATCTTCATCATTTTGGGGGAATCAGCCAGAACCCTCCAGGTAGGTGGCCCCAGCCATCTGCCCACTCACCCTCCTGTGCTCACTTTTCTCTTCCCCCTCCCTCCCTTGGGTCTGGACTTCAGAAGCCCCGAAAATCTCCTTCTTGGGGAGTGGTCGGTGCTGGTAAATAACCTTTCTCTGCTATGAGCTGATATGCCGTGTTCTCAGAATCCAGGTGGCTCCTTGGGGTTGCTCAGCATCGCTGCGGTGCAGGCTTCGATGTGCCCTCGCATGTGGCTGGCAGCACACGGTGTTGTGGGGTGCACCCCTAGTGGCTAGCCGGGCTTGCTCCTCTAGACTTGCATCTGAGGAACTGAAAAGCTGAAGATTGAGGATTCCACACGGCACAGCTGCTGGCCCTGCCCAGCCATCCCACGGGTGGCCTTGGAGGTCGGGTTTCTCTCTCTGTGCTGAGCAGGTGCGCTCGGAGGACCTCAGCAGCCCGGAAGATCACTTCTCCCAG